AGACAACACGTGACACTTCCCAGAGGCCCGGAATAATTCTAGATTAAAAGTTTTCGTGACTGCAAGGGTCCATACTCTTTGTTTTTTTTCGGTAAAGTGACGTAGGAAAATAAATTACATTAAATCACGACGTTTCGGAGGCAACACAAGCTTCTGTCTTCAGGTGGAACCGTCACAGCAAATAAGTAGAATTTAGAGTCTCACTCAAATCGCATTTTATTTTGCCAAATGCGGCCCACGGTAGAGTCCACTACAACCTGGACCAAAAAACAAACGCGATGACAGCCGCCGCCACCGCCTTGACCCCAGCGCTACCTGGCAACGCACGAGGCCCGCGCCTCTTCGTCAGCAGCAACTTGTTGCTTCTGCCGAGAAAGGGGCACGGCCACAATTTAAACGGCGGCCGCGGTGTCACAGAAACCCCCCCCCCCCACCCGGGTTAAGATGCAGAGCCGTGCGCATTCATCGTAAGTGTTGGTTTTGTTAAAAAATAAAATAAAAAGTTGCAGGAAGCGACGGCCGCTAATTCGGGACAGATGGCGCTCAGCGGAGGAGCACCGCTCTCTCTTGTTAGACAACGACCCGATTGGAATAAATAGCCACGGCCGCCCTCGTACAAGGCAATAATAATTAGGCAATCCATTGCCCTGCCACAGCAGCAACCCTCGGAATGAAATTAGGACCGCGAATTTTTTTTTTTACTGAACTGGGACGGGGGTGGGGGGCAGAACACATACTTAGCTGTCAATTAAAACAAAATCACAGCTGTCATGCCTACTCTCTGTGTACGCGTGGCAGAATAATTTCATTGCGGGTTCACTGACTTCGTATCGTAATTAATCGTTTGCGGGGGTGGCGGTGGGGGGTGGGGGGTCAGGGGTGGTCTGGAGGTTGGGGGGGGGGGGCGGCGTGCCCCATTTTTCACCTCCGAGGATAGACAGAGCGAGGTTCTTGATTGCCTGCCTGGCTTTCGAAAACGTATTTCTGAAATGCATCATCAGAGGCGGCGTCAATCGTTTGAGATAATAAATACAAATGTGATGTTTTCCCACTGAGCCGCTGTTCAATATATTTGTGTGCGGAACCGGAAGTGGTTATCCAAAAAGCACAGCGGCGTTGCTGTTTGCCATCTCCGTTGGCAGCTTCGAGGCAGCGGTGGGCCCTCTGCGTTCTTTTTGTTGGCAGTCCCCCGCAGCAGAGGATGATCGTCTCGTCGGTAAGCCCGACGAGGGCCGACGGTCCAGGACCTACAGCGCTGCGTGTTTGCGTCGTAGGGTTCCTTCCACATTACCATGGCAGCGGCCAGTACACTCGGTGCGTCGCAAAGACAAAGATCCCCCGTATAGCCTTGATAGACTGTTGGCGGCAAGTGCTGTTAGCGAGCACCTATGAAGGCTGGCACGGCGCACGAGGGAGTGGGTGGCCAGCGCCAAGTGGCGATGCTTACACATGGGACCAGGTAGTCATTTGAGGCCGAGTCGACCTAGGAGATGTCCAGGACCGGCTCAGATATTTGTCACTGGTGTTCGCCGTGAGCGGGAATCGAACTCGGATCGCCGGGTGCGTAGCGCAGCGCGGCGCTAACTGCTGCACCACCGCTCGCCACACGAACACTGCTGCACCACCGCTCGCCACACGAACACGAGCAGTCACCACGTGGTCGGTTGTTTTTTCTCCGCGCAAAACATCTTGAGCGCGTTCGTGCGCCTATTGCCATGCACCTCCGAGCTATTCGAAGGATCGATACGATGTGACGTGCCTCTCATTTATTTCGCGCGAGAGAGAGAGTTTATATATATTTTACATTGGTCTCTTACCGGTCCGTTCAATTATTCATGCGCAATAAAAGCAGTGTTCGGGCCACGTATTTGATTTATGCAGTTTGTGGCCACGTGTCTATTTAAGATAAAAAAAAACCCGATCTCGGATGCCAGCGACCTTCCCGTGACCTCATTATGCTGATTCAAGTCAGACGCCGCGTCATGACGGAGAGCGACCGGCCTTGGCAGCGGCCGCGGATTTCTTGAAGAGAGCGGACAGCTGCGACTTGCGACGCAATATACTGTGGTTCAGCTTCAATTTAAGCGAATTGTGCACTTTTTACGAACGTAATTTAAAAGTCGACGAGATTTCCCACTCGTATGAGCATTGAGACACTGGTGCTCATCTCGTGTTTAAAGCCTTTGCGGAGCCAGTGGTGGAAATTCCTCATTCCCATGCCGAGGGCGCGTCTCTCTACGCAGCACAATTATTGTTAACTTCCCCACGAAGTGGTGCTCGTTTTGATCAACTTCCGAGGGATGATGACCCCAGGCAACTCCCCAACACAGGATTTGAACTTGCAACCTGTTTGGTTGTGAACCACTCGCTCTCCTGCCGAGCCCAAGTCCACTAACCGCTGGCAACGACAATTCAAATACAGCGGCGTATTTATAACTATCTGCCGTGGACTAATGAACCGATTATTCCGCCATCAAATGCAACTTCTCTCTGGCCCCAGTGCCCCAGTGCCAGCCTCTTTCCCACTCGAGGGCTGCCACGTGTGGCCCACGCGAGCCGGGTGGTTGCCGCCCACGCGATCACGTGGGCGCGTGCGACTGATTGCTCGCTCGGGATGTATTACCCAGGACGTGCGCTGATGAGGATTTGATGGGGGGGGGGGGGGGGGGGTCGTGATTGATGGCCTCGGGCTAGAAGGTCGCGCTCAGGAACGCGTCTGTCCCAGAGATCCGGTGGCCCCTGGGAAACCGAGCGGTGGCGCTTAATTTAATCGCCGCTCAATTTATTTGGTTCAATTTTACGGATTTTTTTTTTTAAGTTTCTGGTTTTCTGCGGCAGTTGTTTTTCATTTTGTGGGGGGAGGGGGTGGTGGAGACCGTCGACCCTCGCAGGAGATTCGATTCGTCGGCAGCCGCGCTGCTCTGTCGTCCGTGTGCGCGCACTCCACGCGTCGCAGACTTCGAGCCACGTGCAATCGTCTCAGACTCGGGCTAAGACTTTATATCGGCTGGTACGGCTCATTGAGCTGAACAGCTATTTCATCCATAATAGAGGTTTTGTTTTTGGGGTTGGGTCGCGTAAATATATAAATGTGTCGTTAAAACCCGCCACCACTCGACACAGCCAACTAGTAAGGGTTGTCACGTAAACAGAACGTGGCCAATTCGTCACTAGTACAGCACTAACCGGTGTGTTGGAGAGACAAGCCACAACATTTACAATCTGAGCGCGACGTTTGAACGACACATTTTTTATATTTACGCGATCGAACCCAACAAAAACCTCTTATGGATGAGATTGGTAGCGAAAGCCGACGTGTAAAACTCGCTCTTTCACAAAGACGACCACAGCCCATTTCAGCTGGACCGGTCCAGAACGCTGTTTGTACGCCACATCCCTCTCACCTCACGTTGTCCTCAACCTGTTTGTGTGGCTCTAGCAATATAGGGTGCAGGGTTATTAACGATAGTTGGTGTACGGTGTTTTTTCTGCAATATTTTGCTGTCTTTTCTTGGATTTTCTGTTTGCACTCAGTCGCATATTCACTTTAAGATGTTTTCTTGTTCATGTTTTTGTTTTTTGTTTGTTGCGGTTGCACCCGATTCAAGAGCCGAATGGCTCACAGGGCTATACCTAATAAATGAACTTGAAAACTTGAAACTTGATAGGAAGGCGTGCCTTGTACTCCAGCAGTAGTGCCTTACATCTAAGCAGCGTTTCCAGCAAATATGAGGGAAGAAATGAATCCCCGCTTTGTAACTCTTCAGCAAAAGTTGATTAGTGTGAGGTAGTTGGGTGACTCAGTGGTCAGGGTGCTGTGCCAGCACCGGTGAGAGCCTCAATTTTGAATCCAGGTGTCAGCTGTCCCATCGATAATAGCTGCACAACAAAGCTCCGCGCGGTGTGAAATTAGTTTTGCCAATTTATTTGGTACATTTTTTACGTCTGGGAAGAGAAATCATTGGGTTCGTCTGCCAAGCAACAAATACCATTCTCATCCCAATGCTGCACCATCCTGAAACAGATCGTGAAAGCTCAATGATTATCTACTGTACATGTTCTTGCATTCTCAAATAATTGACCATACGAAGGATTTTAATTTGATATAATACAACATTTGTTTCAATCGTTGCTCTGGACTCCCCCCCACCCCCGACCTGCAAACGGCACTGACCGGTTTGGTGAAGTATGGTCAACCAACCCTCACGAGCTGCACGGCATGGGGAGGCCCTCAACTGGCAGCTCATGGAGTTAGACGAGTTACAAAATATTGATTGCCTCTCAGCGACCACTTTCTGAGCGTTGTTTACACTACGTTTTTTTAAGCGGATGCCGTGTTTTTTTTAATTCCTCTGTAATGCCATCGTGTTTTAGACCGCATTGGCATTATAATTAACATGTCAGATTTAAATCAATATACTGTATATATTTTTGACCTCCAGCGTGCTACTTAATTAAAAAAATATCATTTTTATATTGGGATTCTAAAAAAAAGAGATCATTTTGATATTGGGATTATGATCTGCTATCTATTGTATTTCGCTTATCTGTCATTGTTCATTATTGGTTCATTTAACCCTGACTTGTTTCGTTTGTCGGGGAAGCGGTGATGTTGTTTTTTTGTTGATGAAACCCGATTTAAGAGCTTCTTGACTCACAGGGTATTTCAAAATGAACTGAAACTGAACTGCAACATTAGCAATGGACTTGATATGAACAATGTTATGCAGCATAACTCGAGCACTGTGCAACGTAAATAACATCATCGCTTGGAATTTTCCAAAAATAAGAAAAACACATTTTCGCAGGACAAATATTGCACATTTTTTAAAGCTAAAAAAAATAATAATCTCTATGAAGCCGAGAGGCTGACGCCTGCCGACTCAGCCGTGTGGGACTGACAGCGTGCAATTTGGGGAAGAAGGAAGGGCCCTAATTTCATCAATCACGGGGCATTACGAGAGCCAGACTTTCTCTGAGCGATCGCGACGGGAACTCACCGCTCGAACAGATGGCGACAACGATCAGCAGCAGCAGCAGCAGCAGCAGCGAAATCATCGGCCGAGAAGAATCCATCTCTGCGTGGATCGTCCTCCGAGCTCCGAGGTCCGGTGAACCAACACCTCCCTCGATCTTCGCGTCTCGTCGCCGACTGCGCGGAGGCCCCGTGACCTGCCGTCGGAAGCGACAGACGGCACATAAGTCGTTGTTTTTGTATTTTACCCCGGTGCGTACTTCGGGATCGAAGTCCCGCCAGCGACGGTGAACCTTCTGGAAGCGCCCTGAAGGTCGACGCGGTCTGCTTCGAATGTCATCTGGACTTCGCACGGCAGGTGCGGTGGCCGCCTATGATCACGACTGGACATCTGTGGCCACTTCTGGACACCTGCGAAACTACTGACAATCTCACCATTGGAACCTCATTTGCCAGTAAAAATATGATAAATTTTTTTACCCTTCTATCTGGCAACAAAACTGACACCTTTTTACAAGGAGTCATGTTTGCATAGACCACAATACCTGCAGTCATAATGCAAACAAAAACATAACTCTGATAATGTGCACTGTCCTTGAAGTTGATTGGTCCACACCCGAGACAGCTTTCCTTAGAGCCTAGTCTCACATGGGTTGGACCAGATGACCAGATGAAAAAGAGCCTTGTAGCTCATCGGATTTCTCCACGTTAAAATGTTTTTATTCTGATTCGAGATCACCGGTAGGGACGTATGCATCGCGAACAACGGGGGAGACGACAAAAAAGCGGTCGCTTATGGACCCGTTGATGGCATCACCGTTGAAGCAGTGGATCGGTAACGAGACTGTCGAGTTTAACAGTTTTCGAAGGACGCAAGTTTGAATCACTGCCCCGGGTCACATAGTTCATTGTTTAACCCCTTTAACCCCCCCACCCCTTTCGGCTGCAGCGTCTTCCACGCTTTTAGCGACGCCGTTTACAACGCACGTAATCTATAGCACAATGCATTTGTAATGCACCATAACGTTTCTTTTAACTGCGAAAAGTACACCGTATTCTCCAGTTTACATGATGCACTGCCTCCCGCACACACACGCCGTGTTGACCGTGCAAGTTTGGGGTGCGACTGATAATCTGGCAGGTGGTATGTGTGCGTGTGTGTGTGCTCGTCCGTGACCAGATTGTGTATAATTTTCCAGGGCGTCTTATAATCTCGAGAATGCGGTAATAGATACGTGCAATACTCTTTCCCGTGCAAATTAATCCAAGCGGCATCCACCTCCTCGATTTTGTGGACAAGCTAAATTCGATTCTGTTCTCCTCCAGATCTGCATCGTTTACGGTGGGAGGGAGGAGGAGTGGGGTGGGGGGTTGAGGGGTGGGGTGGGTGGGTGAGGGGTGGGGGGTGAGTGACAGCCCACTCGCCCCGCCCCCACCCGCACCACTCCACCTATGACTCGTCCTCTTCATTGTTACCGTACACGGACAGAGCAGCTTAATTTCTCAATTTTCTCACGGCATGGATTTTTCTTGTTGGGTGTGTTTTTTTAGTTTGAAATGTTTTTCTTCTCTCATTTTCTGGAGCTCAGCCCCAAGGCTGTAAGCAACCGGCCTGCAATTGCGCAGTGCTCGGCTCGGCGTCTCGACGGCTGTGAGCGTGCCGGTGGCTCGCGGAAAGGCAGCCCGGACACGTGAAGGGATGGCGATGGTGATGGTGATGTTGTTTCATAAAAAAAACGGGCACCCCTCATGCTCGGGGGAGAGAGGGCCGCTGTGGCGTTAATGCGTTATGGATTTAGCTGCTGCGAAAGAAAAAAAAATCGTCATCCCGCCCAACGTTAATTAGGCGACGCTCATAAATGTTGAAAATATTTCTTCAGGGACGCGGGAGGGTGGGGGGAGGAGGCCGCAGGGCTGCTACTGCTGTTGCCTCTTTGCCGAGTGGGGTGTTAGAAGAATCTACATCGAGAGGGTTACGGGATCAGGGTAAACGTCGCGAGGGTACGGGTGGAACGCAGGTTGGCGGAAAGGAATATTCGTCAAATCGTGGTATTGGCCGGAATATTTAATTATCAGGTTAATAAATAAAATAAAATAAACTTGAGGAGACTTACGTAGAACGACCATTGTTTTTTCTTAGCAATCCATTATTTCACGTTTGTGGATCGCTCTCCAAATGCTGAAGCGGTAATATACACTGGCGCGTTCGTTCACGTGACAACTTTACATATACTATGTATTATGACTGCAGGTATTGCGGTCTATGCAAACATGACTCCTTGTAAAAAGGTGTCAGTTTTGTTGCCAGATAGAAGGGTAAAGAACCAATTATCATAACTTTACATATACTGTATATGTAAAAAAAGAAGATTTTGTATCGATCAATCGGTGCACAGTCACCACCATCTTCATCCACGATCAACCCACTGCTGGATGTGGACCTCCCACCAAATCACCAATCCATCCATCGCGTGCGCATGAGCGCACGAGTCATCGGGCAGTGGATAGACCATGACCGATGATGTTCTTGATACCCTTAGTTTTATTTCTTGCGGGGGGGGGGGGGTTGGAGGCGGGGGGGGGGGTAGGAGGAGGCGGGGGGGGGCACGCCGAGGCTGAGCTGCGTCGTCAGCGAAGCTCGGACTCGGCTCGTGGAAACGCAGTTGGCGTCTCGATTTACGCTGAGCGGCGAGAAAAATCCTTAGAACGTCGATGCCGCCGCCGATAGGACCTCTCTTGGGCAACTCATTAAACACACACCGCTGGAGGGGGAGGGATTAGGGGGGGGGAGTGGCAATGGGGGGGGGGGGGGGGCTCAGGGGGCTCAATTTGCAACGACCTCAATGCTTGAGCCTTGTTCCTTTGAGAGCCTCGGTTCGAGCCCCGGGGCTGGGTGAACTCTGGGGGAAAGCGCCATCGTTTGAGTCGGGTTCATGGACATGGTGGACTTGGAAGCGCGTGACTGATGAGTACAAAACAGAGGCAGAGAGGTTGAGTGTGCCTGCAGGAGGCAGTGCAGCAAGTAGGTTGCTGCCGAGCTATTTGTGTGTTGACGTGACCAAATCGTCCCGTACTTGCACGCGATCACTTCTTGGTGAGATCTCTCGGAAGTTAAGCAGGCATTGAGCCTGGATGGTTGATTCTAGATTTGAAGCTTTCGTGACTGCAAGGATTCATACTCTTAGTTCTTTCGGTAAAGTCACGTAGGTAAAAAATGAAATTAAAATTAATAAAAATAAAACAATAAAAATTACGACGTTTCGGAGGCAGCAAATCTGGCTGTGACGGTCCCACCTGATGACGGAGACTTGTGTTGCATCCGAAACGTCGTGATTTTTATTGTTTTATTTTTATTAATTTTAATTTCATTTTTTACCTACGTGACTTTACCGAAAGAACTAAGAGTATGAATCCTGGATGGTTGCTCGGAGGGGTTGACCACCTTAAGTGAAAGGTGTTTTGGCTCCTGCGAGACTCCATTGTTAGGAGAGGACAGTGCAGCTGCTTGCCGAGTAGCGCATTCAGTACACACACACACACAATGTAATCCCACGTTCGAGAGCATCGCCACATCTGAGTGAATTCAAACCGCATGGAACGAAATTTCCCCCAACCAGCAATGACCAGCGCGGTGAAGTATGGGTCACGTTTACCACCCACGACCCGCACGGCATAGGGAGGTCTTCACCCAGCAGTGGACTGACAAGGGGGTGGGGTGTATGTGAGACTGTACACAGAGCAGTGTGCGCGTTCTTCTCTCGCACACAACCGAGTTCTCCTGTCTCCACATTTTGCCTGGGATTTTTGTCAACACAAAAACAAAAAAACCGGTTGCTCAAAGAAAGACTCGGTCAAACATCCCGATGCAAGACCCTCCTGAAAAGAAGCATTGAGTCTCACGATTAGACACATTGTTGGGTGATGCTGTATCGGCAGTCGTGTGCAAGCACAAAAAAACTCAAAACGCTGGTCAATAATACTGCTTTAAAATATAAAAAATATATAATCGGCGACGTTTCAGGAAACGGTTCTTCTTTATAGACCCCAGTGATGCTTACAGAGGCAAATGATTAATGAATGAATGATGCTTGTCGTAGGAACAATCATCAACGGGGAAGACGCCATATTATAGATAGTACAAGTTGATTGTATGTGTTCCACGGACCAAAATCACTCAACCTATCTAATTAGAGAGGGGAGGAGGGCTGTGCCACAGCGCTGTGATGGTTAGCGCACTGGACCGACGATTTCCAGAGGTCGCTGGATCGAGTTGATCTCCTCACGTGGCATTTCATTATTGTTTCATTTTACTTAGAACGACCCTTAAGAGATATCCGTTCCAAGTTATGGAGCCATTCAAATGCTTTGAGAGTGAATTGCAGATCCACTCACCGGCCCATTCACGCGCTCATCCACTACCCCACCCACTCAGCCACCCACCCGTGTCTGGGACCCATCTAGTAGTCCCCGTGCCTGTCAGAGCAGCAGTTCATCAGCATTGACTCGAGCAAGCCCGACTCTGCTGATGAGACATTGAATGTTGAAACCTATACGGAGTGTTGCCTGCCTTGAATCAATGCTGCTGAAATTATGCACTCCCAGAAGGCCGTGCGGCTGATGGGTAGTATCAGGCAGACTTGGATTTGTTTATATGGAGAGATTCATATGTCAGCAAGACATTGTCTGCTTATTCATTTTGTATGCAGTGCAATGTCATTCATGCGCCGTTGTGGAGCAATGGGTAATGGCCTTCCATTTGTTTCTTCACTTCACGTTACCTTGTAGGCCGTCTACCAGTGGGCCTTCTGGACTAAAGCTATCGATCAGCATTTGCTAAGGCACTCAAACTCTGCAGCAGTTTTTTTAACCTTTGGGGTCTCATCATTAGCCAGGCTTGTTAAAAAAAGGATAGCGTTTGGATGCCAGTGATTGTTGGTGCGAGCCCTCCATGTTCATCATGGGGCCCTGTTCAGTGCAATAACGAAGACATATTTGTCCCAAGATGTTCAAACACCAAATAGATACATTTTGCAAGGCATCAAATCCGCATTAACCACACATACTTGTGGCAAAACAAGCAAACATGAATATGCTTCGATGATATAAGCATTATCTTTGAAACTGAATCGCCTACACCAGAGACAGTCTTCTTTAATGGCCTAGTCTCACCAATGCAAGTATCGGTGCACTTATAGCT